TGAATAAACGACCGTCCAACAATTATAGACAGCCGTTCATCACAAATGGATGAGCATCCACGAAAAATAACAATGGACTCCAGTCCATATAATATGGAAGGAAGTCCATTCACTATGGATGAGCGTTTACCTCATATGGATGCCCGTCCATAAAATTTTAAAAATAAAATAATGGACGAGCGTCTATCTTATATGGAGGAAATAGCCGGATAAATGAGAAATGATGTAGCCATAGAGAAAGTTAAATCATATGCTTCCAAATTCTCCTTCCAATGGTTAATGCAATTAATATCACATGTCTTTGCTCACAGTTTAATTACATATAGTAATTTGGCTTAATTTTAGCCATAAATTCCAAGTAGTTAGCCTTAGGATAATTTTTTTTTTTTTTTCAATTCATTGGAACTCACAATTCCAAGTGGTTGTTCAGCCTTGCCTTAACTTGGAATCTGCATTTATTATTCACAAATTAAGAACTCAATGAAACCAACATCTTTAGTATGGACGGTCATCCATATAATACGGACGGCCGTCCATTTTAAATGGACGCCTGTTCATATAATATGGACGAGCGTCCATTATTATATTTAAAAAAAAAAAAACCATGGACGGGAAATTGACTCTCATTCATATAATATGGACGAGAGTCCATTGTTATTTTTCGTGGACGTTCGTTCATCAAATATGGACGGACGTCCATAATTATTGGATTGTCGTTCATTCACGAAAGACTTGTTTTGTCTCCAACGTGGCCTCATCTGACTGGATGTCATGTACGTCGGTACAAAAATTGGGTGCAAATTATCGGTGTCCGTAGCATTATTCCATAATTTATAGTTCATTAATTAGTTGGTGTAATTTATATTCAATATTCGTTTTTTTTTTTTATACATTATTATAATTACTAAATCTTTCTCTAATTAATAGATAATAGATTTTGGAAATGGCATAGGTGAATCTTCAAGCCAAATGTCAAACCTCACACATTAGCCAGCTTCAGGAGGTAATTTACTTAATTTAGATCAACAACTAATATGTAAAATTCAACCCTTTGCACACAATACTAATTTGAAAAACAATTTGACTAGGGAATGGACGTGGGGGTCATCAACAGTCTACAGATTGAGCAATTTTTAATTGGCCTTTTTTTTTTTTTTGGCATTTGCAGCAGCTGTTTCTGAAGATTTTTTGGTGATGATCTTTTGGTGATTGTGATGAGCATATGGAAATGTGAATTCTTGTAGAGATAGAAGAGATTGCTTTTGCAAATATAAGTGGCAAGTTGTGTAGATAGCGATCTTCAATTGTATGTATTGAATTATGTTGAGTATATACAACTTATTTATACAAAAAAAAAACATGATAGCTATATAATGATAGAAAATATTATAATATTGATGCAATCTCTATAATACAAGAAATAAAATAATATCTAAAATATAATAAGAATGAGAATAATATAACATATTCTCATTCTATATTCGCATGTCAACAGAAACTACCTTTTTTTTAAGGAAGTATTCTCTAGTTGTGTGGATATATATGTGTGAAGAGAAAGTTTAGGGATTCAGTTAAGATTTTTATTTGAATAAGCTAGTCTTTAGGATATTTGTTACATTTTCTTTGTTGCACTCATCACGTTAAGTAGTTGAACGTGAGCAGGTTTTTCTCATTTTCTGTTAAGTTTGTAAAGGCTATTTAAGCCTAAGTTTGTCCAATAAAAGCTAAGTCACTTCCATAATTGTTTAGTACCTTTTACTTTGTGTTTCTATTCTCAACATTCTGTTATCAGAGCCTCCATTGGACTTGACGAAAACAAAGCAGTAGTCTTTGACTTCTCTGCAACAGCAAGATGACAACTGAAGGGAGCTTTGTGCAAACATCCATTCCCCGCTTTAATGGTCACTATGATCATTGGAGCATGTTGATGGAGAATTTCCTACGATCCAAGGAATTATGGGGACTGGTAGAGACTAGCTATGAGGAGCCAACAAATGAATCAGTGCAAACAGAGGCACAACGAAAGAAGCTAGAAGAATTGAAACTGAAAGATATGAAAGTAAAAAACTTTCTATTCCAGGCCATTGATCGGATGATATTGGAGACCATCCTTGTGAATGATACTTCTAAACAAATTTGTGAGTCTATAAAGAAGAAATTTGAAAGGAGTGCTAGAGTCAAGGGGTCACACTTACAAGCTCTCCGCAGAGAGTTTGAAACTCTAGAGATGAAAACTGGAGAAGGAGTCTTTGAGTATTTTTCAAGAGTGTTGACAGTAGCCAACAAGATGATAATATATGAGGAGCAGATGCAAGATGTTACAATAGTGCAGAAAATTATGAGATCTCTGAATGAGAAGTTTAATTATGTTGTTTGCTCGATTGAGGAGTCCAAAGATACTGATCAACTTTCCATTGATGAGCTGCAAAGTTCATTGATAGTACATGAGTAAAAATTTTAGCGACATACAAGAGAAGAGCAAGCACTCAAGATCAGCCATGAAGATAGATTTGGAGCAAGAGGACGCGGTCAAGGTGCATACCGAGGCAGGGGGAGACACCAGTCCTACAATAAAGCGATGGTGGAATGCTTTAAGTGTTACAAGCTTGGACACTATCAATCTGAATGTACAAGCTGGGATAGAGAAGCAGAAGAGGAGATGTTGCTCATGTCATATATGGAGATGAATGGTGCTCAAAGGGAAGATATCTAGTATCTGGATTCTGGATGTAGCAATCACATGTGTGGTGACAAGAGTTTGTTCACTGAGCTGAATTAGGACTTCAGGCAGACGGTGTCTCTAGGAAATAACACAAAGATGAATGTGTTAGGCAAAGGCAATGTGAGATTGAAAGTAAGTGGCTTAACTCATGTTGTTAGTGAAGTATATTTTGCATCTGAACTAAAAAGCAAACTGTTGAGCATTGGCCAACTACAGGAAAAAGGATTGGCAATTCTCATTCAACATGGAACACTCAAGATTTATCATCCAGACAAAGGGCTCATAATGCAAACCGAGATGTCAACAAATCAAATGTTTGTGTTGCTAGCAAAATCACTACCGCAAAAACCAGCTTGCTTATACACTTCCACACAAGATATGGCACATTTATGGCATTGTCGTTATGGGCATGAGCTATAAGGGGTTGAGAACTCTCCAATTTAAGAAGATGGTGCATGGCTTACCTCAGTTCAATTCTCCAACAATAGTGTGTGCAAACTGTATGATTGGAAAACAACATAGAGATCCAATTCTAAAAATAAGCAATTGGAGGGCCACATAAAAACTTCAACTTGTTCATGCAGATCTTTGCGGCCCCATATCTCCCACTTCTAATAGTAAGAAGAGGTACATTATATGCTTTATTGATGATCTTACTAGAAAAGCATGGGTTTATTTTTTGGTAGAAAAATCTGAAGCATTAAGCATGTTCAAAAAAATTAGGAGCTGTGTTGAGAAAGAAGTAGGAGGATATATTAAATGTTCGAGAATAGATCGAGGAGGAGAGTTCACATCACTTGAGTTTAATGAGTTTTGTACAAAACATGGTATCAAGAGGCAATTGACTACAGCGTATACTCCACAACAGAACAGAGTAGTGGAACGAAAGAATCGAATTGTGATGAACATGGTTCGATGTATGCTCGCTGAAAGAAAGATGCCAAATACTTTCTGGCTGGAGGCAGTGAATTGGACAATACATGTTTTGAATATGAGTCCTACATTGGTCGTGAAGAATCAAACGCTCGAAGAAGCCTAGAGCAAAAGCAGACCCTCAGTTGAGCACTTTAGAGTTTTTGGATGTGTGGCGTATGTGCATATTCCTGATGTGAGAAGGAAAAAGCTAGATGCAAAGAGCCTTGCTTGTGTGTTATTGGGAATTAGTGAAGAGTCTAAGGCATATAGGCTCTATGACCCTGTTGAAAGAAAGGTTGTAGTTAGTAGGGATGTAGTATTTGAGGAAGATAAATCTTGGAGTTAGGATAAGAGTTATGAAGAGCACATAATGATTGATTTGGAATGAGATGATAATACAACAGCAAACGCAGAGAGTGAGGAAGCAGTGAATGGAGAAGAAGAAGAAATTATTGAACCAGTTAGTAGTCCTCAAAATGATGAATATGATGGAAGAAACAGAAGGCCTCCCAAGTGGATGAGTGATTATGTAACTGGGGAAGGACTTTCGAAGGAAGACGAGGCAAATGTTAATTCAGCTCTATTTGCTTCAACAAATCTATTGTGTTTTGAAGAAGCAGTAAAGCATGACAAATGGAGGACAGCTATGGACACAGAGATGCAAGCTATAGAGAGAAACAACACATGGGAACTTACTGATCTTCCCAAGGGTGCAACGAAGATTGGAGTGAAGTGGGTTTATAAAACTAAACTCAAAGAAAATGGTGAAGTGGATAAATTAAAGGCTCGTTTGGTGGCAAAAGGGTATGTGCAACGACAAGGGATAGACTATACCAAAGTATTGGCACCAGTTGCAAGAATGGACACAGTAAGAATGGTTGTGGCTCTAGCGGCACAAAAATGGTGGGCTCTCTATCAACTTGATGTCAAATCTGCCTTCTTGCATGGAGAACTCAACGAAGAAGTGTTTGTGGAGCAACCTGAATTGAAGAACAACCCCCAAAAAGTCTACAAGTTGAAGAAAGCCTTATATGGGCTGAAACAAGCTCCACAAGCTTGGCTCAGCGTATTGAAGCACATTTCTTAAGTGAAGGGCTTGAGAAGTGTTATAGTGAGCATACACTATTCATTAAAATGACTAAGGGAGGTAAAATTCTCATTGTCAGTTTATATGTTGATGACTTAATATTTACTGGCAATGATGAATTGATGTTTAGCAAATTTAAAAGCTCCATGTTGAGGGAATTTGATATGACTGATTTGGGAAGATGAGATTTTTTCTAGGGATAGAAGTTTTACAGAGGTCTGATGGATTTATATTTGTCAAAAGAAATATGCTTTAGAGGTCTTGAAGAGGTTTAAGATGGAAAATAGCAACTCGGTTCATAATCCTATTGTTCCAGGTTGTAAGCTTTTCAAAGATGAAAATGGAGTTCATATTGATGAGAGTTTGTTCAAGCAGATGGTAGGATGTTTTATGTACCTAATAGCTACGAGACCAGATTTGATGTTTGCAATGAGCTTGATTAGTAGGTACATGGCCAAACCAACTGAATTGCATTTGATGGCAGCCAAAAGGATACTACAATACTTGCAAGGAACCATTGGACTTGGAGTTTTCTACAAGAAGGGAGGGCGTGAAGGTCTAGTTGGTTATACAGATAGTGACTATGTAGGAGATGTAGAAGATAGAAAGAGTACATCAGGCTATGTTTTCATGTTGGGATCTGAAGCTGTTGCCTGGTCTTCAAGAAAGCAACCTATAGTCACACTTTCAACCACAGAAGCAGAGTTTGTGGCTGCAGCTGCTTGCGCTAGTCAAGCTATTTGGATGAAGAGAATAATTGAGAAGCTGAGTCTAGAAGAAAGCAAGTGTACAACAATCTTTTGTGATAATTTCCACGATTAAGTTGTCAAAAAATCCTGTGTTACATGGCCGAAGCAAGCACATTGATGTGCGATTCCATTTTCTTCGTGATCTTACACGAGAAGGAGTAGTTGAATTAGTTTACTGTGGAACACAAGAACAGCTGGCAGATGTCATGACAAAGCCCCTCACAATGGATGCATTTCAGAAGTTTCGAAGTCAGCTGGGAGTTTGTCAAGTTCCTGATTTAAACTAGTTGTAGACTTGTAGTTGGTAACTAGTTTAAGGGAGGGAATGAAGAGAAAGTTTAGGGATTCAGTTAAGATTTTTATTTGAATAAGTCCTAGTCTTTAGGATATTTGTTACATTTCCTTTGTTGCACTCATCAAGTTAAGTAGTTGAACGTGAGCAGGTTTTTCTCATTTTCTGTTAAGTTGTAAAGGCTATTTAAGCCTAAGTTTGTCCAATAAAAGCTAAGTCACTTCCAGAATTGTTTAGTACCTTTTACTTTGTGTTTCTATTCTCAACAATGTGTTCGTTCAATCATCTAATATCATCATAGAAAAACTGGTATTTAGGGACACGCTAAAATAGAATCAGAGAACACAATTTCGCGTTCCAAGTCATATTCTCTGACGATCATGATCTTATATATTGTCAATATAAATAAATATAACAAAGTAATATTGAGAGAGATGAGAGGTACCATACCATCAAGAGCAAAAGATAAAAGAGGAGGATCAAATCGGAGATTCTACTAGAAGCCATCTTCATCTCCTTCAAATTTCAATTATGTGAAGCTCAGCTTATGAAGGAGAAGATATATAATATCAAACTAAAGGCCAGGGTTGTTACTCATAAAAATCAGAAAATAAAAACAATACATAAGAAAATAAGGTTATACATTGCTAATTACTTAAATTTCTACTAGCTTAATTATAGTGGTTCTTTCTTTCTTTTTAATTAACTTGTATATAATTTGATTTGACGATATTATATGATTACTATATCTCTATCATAAATTATTTTTTTGATTTCCCTGGTCTAAAAATTGATAAATTGCATCTGTCTAAATGAATTAATTTATATTCATTGTTTTGCGTTTCTTTTTGTTGAATTCGTGAATAAAAATTGATAAAATAGAATGTTGCAAAGTAAAAAAATGGGATTGCTTTTGTGTGGAAATGGAGGACAAAATGAGAGTTTTGGTTGCTTTTTAGAGAGATTCATAAGATATTGAATAGAAGTGGGTGATTTGAACTTTGATGAAGAACTGTTATCGTTGCACAGTAACCCGGCAACGTGTAACATTAAAAAATAGCGGCTTTTTTGTCTTTTCACATTAAAACTCGTCCAATCCACTTTTAAGAATATTTTCGTCATTATCCAATTTCTTATGGTCAAATCCGTAATTAAATATGTCATCACAATATTTAATATTAAAATAACGAAAGTTAATGTCCTAGGGGCATTTCTGTCATTTCAACAACTGGAATTGTGTTAGGGGCAGGATTTCACTAACGGCAAGTGGTATTTTGATAATTTCTGAAACCTGGGAGAGGAAAATGGAGTTTCACGATACTTGGGGCGGGAAAATAAACTCAGCCTGAAGAATAATATCACTTCTTTCATGTTGAATCTAATGTAATTCATAGTAAATTATTTGATCATCAATATATCAAAATTATGGATTGGGTATTGAGATATTCCTAAGCTTTTTCAAAATCATCAAAACCCCTTATAGTTATTAAATATCCCCTTAAATTAGTGAAAAATTATCGTCTCAAGAGGTTTTTAATAATTTTAAGAGGGTTTTTAATAGTTTTTGAAAAAAATAAAAAAAAAAAAAAATAAAACAAAACATCGATAATAAACTGATGTGATAGATAATACATCAGTTAAAAGTTTTTGATATTACACTAAAAAACAGTCCATTCAACTTCAAGAGCTCTAAATTATTACACACCTTTAAATTTAAACACTTTATATAATTGATATTTAATACAAAGTATACGTTTTATGCATTTTGAAAATAACACAATTTGAGCCATTCAAATTGTTTACTATTATTATAGTTGTTATTTGTTTGGGCTTGTTGTCCACAGCATTTAGCATAAATATCCAATGAAAAGTTGCACTGTAATGTCTCATGTTACATACTGAATTTTAACAAATTGGTGTGTATCATTAACAAAACAAGTACAAGCTTTGACTCACTCTGGTTGAGAAAATTTAATACGATCGGACTTGTAATTAACCCATCTTCGAAACCATGGTACTGAAAATCTCAGCTTGGTATTTAGCATATTCTCTTTGTTTTTCTTTTAGCTCCTTGTAACCAAGTTTCACATCTCTGCAAGTTCAAAACAAATGAATTTGTAAATGAAACAAAATTAATCAATCTTGTTGTATAATTTTAACTGACAGAAGGAAAAGGCAATTACCTGTTATCGGGGTCGATGGCTAGAGCTCTTTTCATATCAGCCTCAGCCTTTTCTAGTTCTGATGTTTTCATGTAAGCTTGAGACCTTCGAAAGAGTGCTTTCACATTTGATGGATCGAGTTCTATGACCTGTCAACCACGTAAATGGAATAATGGATCAAGTCTTGAACGGATGGAAGGGAAGTGGGAGGGCGAAGGGGAGTTTACCTTTGTGCAGAGTCTTGAAGCTTCAGAGTGCTCTTCCAGTTTCAGTTTACAAGCTGCATTGTTTAAATAACATGATAGCCGCAATGCGTTTGCTATATGCTTCTCATCGTCGGTGAAAGAGTGATCAAACTCGATAAACTTTGCAGCCTGTGTTCAGAAGTTCAGCAAATGCTTCAGTTTAAAGAAGAAATCAACAGCAACATTCACTTTTTCACAATAATATCTCAGTTTAAAAGAATTATAACTAATTATGTGTCTCTTGCCTTCTCATATTTCTTGGAGGCACGCCAATATTTCCCAGCCCTAAACAGCAAATTTCCATCATGCTTCTTCCTTTCACAAGCTTCAATTTTTTCCTGAGTATCCATTTTCCAAAATGGCTTATCCTGTACATGGAGCAGAATCAGCAAGATGAGACAAAAGAAAATATGGCAATTTGTGCTGATCCCAAGATTTCATGATGCCAAGTTCATTTTCAATAGATGCAAGTATTAAGCAATAAGAGCAGAGTACCTTAGTGAAATCAATCAGCTGTACTTCATAATATAGTACTGAATTTGCAGAGACAACTTCTGAAACTTCATGGCTGCTCAAATACTCTCCGCCAACAGTCACCATGGCTTGTTCTCCCTTTTTCATGGTCATAATCGCTCTATCTAAGCCCTCGTTTATGTTCTCTGAAGACACAGAAAAGTTCCAAAGTTACATTAGCAGGAAATACAATCGTTCACTTCAATAAATTAATTCACATGAGAAATAGAAACAACCTTCTAGAGTTAAGAACTCAAAAGGTTCCTCTTCAGATCCCTTCCTCTCAAAAATTGTTCCATCTTCAAGTCTGGCAATGTATTTCACTAACAAAACATAAGCAAACACGAAACTCCGTTAGACAGTCCTTTACATTCAACTCAAGTTTGAATAATCTTTAAGATGTAAAGTGTGGATGCATTGTCTATCAGATGTCACCTTTCACCAAGGATCCTTCACTGGGGCGGTCAAAACCTTCACCAGCTTTTATTATCTTTTTGAAGACTTTTCCATCTCCCGTGACATTAATGATACTTTTCCACCATAAGAGCTCAAGTTGAATGGTCAAATTAGAGCTGGATGAAGTCCCATATCCATCTTCTGTGCAGCCATCTGAAAAATACAAACATTAATAACTTAACAAATGTTGAACTGATACAAAGGAGGAAATTCCAAATTTTAAGTGAAAATCCTTACTGCTTTGGATGGAACAAGTAACACCAACGACTTACAAGAGAACTTTACTGCGAGTTCTGCTTTCTCACCCTTTCTCATTGTCTTCACTGCCTTGCTTATTGCAGGACACAAATAACCTGATCTCATACCAAAAGAATAATAATAGTAATTAAAGATCTCAAAATGTTGCAAAATTATGTATAACTTGAAGAAATTTTAAGTAACTGAGCAAGCTCAACACACCATCACTTATGCGAAACCCCACACCTTCCTTAGATTCAGAGACAAGTGTTCCATTCTCGAGCCAAGCCTCATACTTAACTACAAGATGAAATTTCAATATGTCAACACAGAAATTAAACATTTGGGCCCATCACCGACCAGTAACGTCAGCTAGAATTTTCAAAACTTGACTCCATTTCCGGATTTCTAGATTAGAGCTCTTAACTTCACAGCCAAATGATCTCGACTCATCTTCCTGAGCCATTTTCTAATTCCATTGTAAACAGGCTTTAACATGTATCTATCTGCTGTCTTAAAACTTCAGCGTTTTCAACAGAGAAAGTAGAAGCATTACTTCATATCCTCACTGATCAACCCAGTGAGGTTTCATAAACTAGGCTAGTGCTCAGGCCAGTTCAATTTGTAATTATAGACGATGGTATCATAATTTCTGCTGTATGGATAAATCAATTACCCAAACTTTGGACTAGTTTAGTTCGTTTACACCATCGAAATTCACATCAAATAATGTCAGAAAAAAAAAAAAAAAAAAAAAAATGCTAAAGAGTCACGGTTGCTATTACCGAAAACTTCATCATTGTCTCTGGGAGTAGCCCATCCCTCACCCTCCTTGATAATTTTCTTCAATATTCCACCATCGCCCGTTATGTCTCTGATAGTGCTCCAAGATAGCAGCTCAATATCAAACACCATTGTTGAATTGGGAGGAATAAGTGGTGGAGAACCGGCTTCCCCATAGGCTAAGCTTGGCGGTATTATGAAGATTGCTCTTTCACCCTTCTTCATAGTTGCAACTCCCTCATCCCATCCTTTAATAACTTCATCTAAAATTCAAGTGTTAAACAAACATTTCAAATTCAAAATAGCAACATTTCAGGCAACAAGAAATGCAATAGAACTGCCTTAAATTTTAAAAAATTTCATCTCTAATTTTATTTCTGAAGGAAGTGGAAAATAAAACCATATTTTTCCAAATACCTTCATATATTCATTTACTTAAAAAAAAAAACATAATAAATTCATATGTAATTTCTCAATTCCATAATGAGTGTTAGAAAAGAAATTGGATAAGGAATGTGCAATGTAAATTAATTACCACAAAATGAAGGGGAGTTCCCCACTTACCTTGGCCTAATTTGAAACGAAAGGGAGTTTCTTTATCACGACTCGAATCCAAACATGCCCCGCCCTCAACGTGTCCACTGAAATGAACTGAAAAGCAAACTTTCAATTATAATTTAAATGATATTCTCAAATTTCAGTTATCCTCCTGATATTCGGCTTAAATATCGACAAGCTTCAAGGTTTAAAAAATAGTCAAAAACTTAGTTAAAAGAAGATAATTATTGATTCTTGGTGTTGAAACTCAGTTTCCTTTTTACTTGGCATCCAAACAGATAAATATTGGAAAGTGTAAATGAGATTTACTAAGAACCTTCTACTTCGTCCCCTGGAAATGGAGTCTGCCATGAAGTTCCACGTTTGAGAATTTGTTTTTTCAAGCCTTGGTTTCCAATTTCTCTCTCGAGTAATTCAAAATTTTTGGTTTTGGTTTCATTATTCAAGTGGGATCTCGAAGAAGAGATTGACATTGCCATAGAAATTGTATGGAGAGCGTTTCAGTTGAAGATAAGCCGTTGTTGGTTTCCCTCCTATTATACTTTCTGTTAAGATTTTTCTGTTGGGACACGACTATCGGACCAGGCCCGCCTCTAGCCCAATTCCTAAAACCCAATGGATTTATAAAGGACCCAATGTGCCCAATAATGAGGACGAGTCTGTGACTAAATACACCTAACCTAATTTCGGAATAAACCCTTGTCTATCCAATGTCTACCCAATGCATCCTTAAAGAACTTTTTATATGATTCAAACTCTTCGTTATAAAGAGTTTATCCATAAAAACAAGACTCTCACATATTCTTTATTCTTTAAATATAAAATAACGAGTAAGTTTAACTCTCCATATTTAGAGAGTCAAATTTCACTTTCTATATTAATTTTTAATTAATAAATTATAAGTTTCTATGTATTTTATTTATTAATTATCTTTCTTATTAAGTCTATTTCTTAAAAAAATGTATTATCTCTCCTAAATTTAATGAGTTCATTGGATTTGAATAAAAATTTTGTTTTTTATATTTAGAAATTAATGAAAATACTCTTTATTTATATGAAAGATACTCTTTAAGATAAAGAACATCATTAGAGACGTTCTTAGTTGCATTAAAGTGTCTTGAGTAATAGCCTTTCAACCAATGGAAAATAGGTTGTCCAGGGATACAACCGTAGTAACTTACCACAAAAACAACATAGGTAACAATAGGGGTGTTCGGTTCCGGGTACCCTGCACTTTTTGAAGGAACCGGAACCGACAGTTCCTTGAAATTTGGAACCAGAACCGGAACCGACGGTTCCGGTTTCTAGGTACCCAAAACCAGAACCAGGAACCGTCGGTTCTGGTTCCTAGGTACCCAAAACCAGAACCAGTAACAACGGTTCTGGTTCCGGTTCTGGGTATCCTGTAAAATTCATGACCCCCCAAAAGTTTTTAAAATGGCAAAAAAAACCCTTAAAAACTTACAAATAACCCACCCCCCCCTACTTGGCACTTGTTAACAAAAATAAAATTATAAATTATAAATTCAAAATTACAAACTCCATTACTTTGTAAAGGTAGATTCTCAAAAGTCAAACCAACTTACTTTAAATGTTATGAAATATAAATATAAATGTAAATGTATTCACATTACTTTTTCTACAAAAGTTTTTATTAACCCCCCTAATCTTTAATTTTATTTTATATTAGTCTTGGTTTCTGGTTCCTGATTTTGGTTCCGGTTCCGGTTCCTAACTATAAGAACCGAAACCGGAACCGCACAGTAACAATTCCAAAAATTTGGAACCGGAATCTACCAATTGATGATTGGTTCTGGGTAAGAACCGGAACCAAACCCAGGGTACCCGCCGGTTACCGTAACAATAATACTAATAGATTAAGGAAATCCTATTTTTTAATAAATTTTATAATGACAAATTCTTCCCTATATTAAATTATTAAAATAACTTTAATTTCCTATTATTTACAAATATTTTTGATACCTATTATTATCTCATAAACACTAGTTCCTTTCTATGCAATACAAATTATTTTTAGGACAAAAAGATAGTTTAATGGAAAAGAAGATTTGTAATAGGATATATCATATTATAAGCAATACAAAATTGTAAGTTTTTAATTGCTACATATATGAATTTATTGTTATTTTTTCTTCAAAGTATTGGTAGCTATTTTAATTTATACATTTTTGTGTTCTTTAATTGTAGCATGTTATTGGGATTATTTGTAAGGATTTCTTTAACTTAATTTTTTGTTTAACTTTCAATTTAATTATCCAAAATTTTATTTTAGAAATAACGATGTGGTGGTATATAATAAGTGAATTGAATGAAAGGTTAACTATTTTAGATGTTAGTTTAATTTTAATTTGGTTTTTGGTAATTTTTTATTTTTTATTTTTACATATATATTAGGTAATTATATAAATGTATAAATTGAATCACAAAAAATTAAATATCATTTCTTTAAAAAAATTAAATATATGTTCTTTTGTATGGAATCTTATCAATAGTCATCCACAAAATTAGAACATTATTGTACAATTCTTTCCCTATATATATTTATTTACTTATTTATTTATTTGGACTATGACTTATCTAAATTTGTACATTTTCATATTATCAATATGAATTATATATAATAATAGAGAACATGTTTAGAATCTAATAATTGATATAAGTATATATCAATTAAAAATATGTTTTAACTTTTGGCTTATAGATCTTCACTTATGACTTATATAATTTATGTTAGGAAATAATATGTTTTAATTTGCCACCCGAATATTTAAAAATACCTTGATAATTGATTCTAATTCCATGATTACAAGATTATCTCTTTATTTTAATTTATAATGAAAGATTTTTATTGATGGATTTCAAGATCTATAATTAACTTATTTCTAAGTCTTCATTATTAATTTACTTTTTTTAGACTCTCCTTATTTAAAAAATAAAAAACCAAAATTTATTTTTTATTCTTGTCTCTTAGTCTACTGAGTATTATACTTTTTGAATTAAAGTAGGAAAAAATAATTTTACTAATCATCCACAAAATTTTATATATATTAGGCTGGGTCGGGTCGAGCAGGGTTGGGAATGTGACCATCTTTGTCCCTGGCTTGTCCCCGAGTTCGGGGAATGCCATTGGGTCAGGGCTCGTCCCATTCTTTGATTGATTCGGGGAATCTCTACCTCGTTCGGGACAGGGAAAATGCCCATCCCTACTTGTATCTAATTTTATTTGGAACTCCATAGATTTGTGTGAAACTAACATGAAAAAGTTAAGAAGAGAAGAAGAAGGTAAGACTAATTTTGTAACATGATTATTTGTATAGTTTTATGGAAAATGATTTTTAGCCCCCACCATTTTGTCTTTTAGCTTTCATTTTCTACTTTAAGTGAGAATATAATTGTCTTAAAAAAATTAAAAGAAATTTACGTGAATCGGAATTCATAATTTCACAAATAAATTAATAAAACTCATAAAAGTTATCAATTTTTTTTTTTTTTAATGTTTCTCGAGAAATTAATTTTCAAATCTCATATCATTTTATACGTAAAGCAAACAAAATTACTGTTTGATCTTCTTTTGCAAAGTTCTCTGTTAGTTTCTCTCTTATTCTTCATTTTTTTTTTTTTTTTTTTGTTTTCCTTTCTAAGTTTTATATTTCGGAAATATGTTACAAGTTATATTGTTTAAATGGAAAACTCATCATATAACAAAACTTACAATATATTTATGTTAGTTTTTAGAGTTGATAAACTTCTAAAAACATATTATTTTTGGACAAGGGCAGATCCAGGAATGAAACTTAGGGGATCAAAGGTTAAAGTAACAATTAACATAAATAAAAATAAAAATAAACACAAATATTTGTATTAATAAAATTTTCATTAACTAGTACATTTATAATTGTCCTCGATGAGATTTTATCTTTTGAAAATATTGTATAATGACTTCATTATCAATGCTATCAAATACACAATTCTCTATATACACAACTAAACTGTTATTCAACCATTGATCACTCATTCTCTTTCGCAAATGATTCTTCACAACATTCATTGTTGAAAATGCTCTCCCTACACTAGCAATAGCAACCGGTAAAATGAATGCTAATTTTATCAACAAACAAATTAATGGAAACACTCTATCATTCTTAGTTTCAACCATCACTCTTGCAAGATCTCAAATCCCATTTAATTGCATAAATTTGACATTAGAGCGTACATCCAAAATGTAAATATCAAATTGAGAATCAAGTGCCATGAGTTCTAAGTCAGAAAAATCTTCTGGATAAAGTTCAGCAAGGCGCATCAATTTTTGCTTATGAGAAGCAACAAAATTTTCATTTGGATATAAGCATGCCAAACAAATAAGTAATTCAGTGTTTACCTTATTAAAATGATTATTCAACGCTTGAAGCTGCATATCTAGGACACTATAAAATACTTCAATATGGTAATGATGCATGTTTGTGATACCTTTAGTCTTTCGTTGTGATCACCCTTGAAAAAAAAAAATTATCATACATATTTGGAATATCAATGTCATGTTGGCACAAAAAGAACAAACTTTGCTAAGTAAATTCTCTTATCCTCTATCCCTCATCAATTGTAAAGCTTGCTTACATACTTTAACAAAATTTATAGCATTTACAATATCTTGATATTTTCTTTGTAGTGCTTAAGAAAGTTCATTTGTAAAACTAAGTAAATCTTTCATCATAAATAGACTAAACACAAAATTAAATGATTGCATCAATTTCAATATATTTCTTGCCCAAAATCTTTGTTCGGAGTTTGTCCCTTCTTTTATCACAATTTCAAGAACATCGATAATGGATGAGAACAACAAGATTATGCTCGTTAATGTACCATAATGCGAGCTCCAACGTGTATCATTGGCATGTTTCAAATTTATCTCTTGATTGAGGCTCTTTCCACTCACTACAAGAAAATTGGCATTCTGAGTCTAGCAAAATTAGACGCAGAAAGTCACATTTAGACGCTAAGCCATTTTTAGCGTCTGAATTTGGTTGTTGCCCCCTTAGTTGCAGTAGGTTGGTCGCAGATTCATAGCGCGTCTATATTGTGGTTTAGACGCAAAAAGTTTTTTTTTTGCGACTATCAAAATAGTCGGCAAATGTTGTTCAAAATAGTCCCCCAACTTAGACGCTAAAAGTTGAAGGGTAATTTGGTAAAATTGTATAGCGACTAATCAATTAGTTGCAAAATGTCAGTTTTAGTGTCTAATAATTTGTCGCGAATCCCACACAATTAACAGCCAAGGTGTAAGGGTAATTTCGTCAAAGGCTTTCGTAACTATTTTATTAGTCAACGAATGTATCTTTTGTGACCAAACTTTGTGCTAATTGTAACTCTTTTAGATGCTGAATGTAGAATCCAAACGGTTTTTGCGACTATTTTATTAGTGGCCAAATGTATCTTTTGGTGCTAAATTTAGTAGTTAATATAGTAATTTTAGATGCTGAATGTGGAATCC